GGTTCCCCTTCCTCAGGTTCCCAAGAGGTCACCAGCCGCTGAGCGGCACTCGCCTCATTCCTGGATGAACAGTCCCCCCGACCCTTCTCAGTGGATCACCAAGACGCACCCTGACCCCAAGGGGCAACCCCCTTCCTTCTGAGGAGTTAGGGAATGTGGGGCGGGATAGGTGCTGTGAAGTATCTGGGGGTATACGCAGTACATACCAAACCACCACCTCAAGGGGCAATTCTCTACAGCTGTCTCTGAGCTCCAGAGGTGACCTTCAACCCTGAGGAGCCCAAGACGACACATGGGACAATGAGAACCTGAGAGCCACAGGGACACCTGGGTTGGGGTCAACAGACCTGGGTTCTGGTCCTACCTGGCAGTCAGCGTATGGTCCCCTGAAGATGCCCGTGTCCTAATTCCTGAAACCTGTGAGTAGGTTGACTCACGTGGCTGAAGGATCTTTGCATACGGGATTAAGTGAAGGCTGGTGAGCTGGGGGACTGCCTGGATTAGCCAGCTGAGTTCAATGGAATCACCAGCATCTTTGCAAGAGGGAGGCGGAGAGCCAGAGAACAAGAGGCTGTGAAGTGATGAGAGCTGCTGGCTGGGAACACAGCCCAAAACCATCTGGGCAGCTGCAGGGGGCTGGAAGAGGCTAGGAAATGGGTTCTTCCCTGGAGCTTCCAGAAGGATTGCAGCCCCTCCAACACCTTGATTTTAGCCTATTTGTGGACCCATTTTGGATTTCTCTTTTTTGAGATCAGGTCTCGCTCTGTTGCCCAGGCTGGACAGGAGTGAGCCACTGGAACCGGTTGGCTTTCAAATATTTAAAAGACAATTTAAAGCAGCAGGATGCTTTAATCAGTTGAAATCACCTGTGGAAGCCCAACGTGAAATGGAGGAAAGGTGATTCATTGGTGAAGCCGGGGACCCGCTGCCCAGCAGAGCAGGCAGGAGCGGCACTGGCAGAGGTGGGGCTGAGGTCTCTGGGAGGATGCCAAGTGCAACATCAACCCAGCCTGCCTGAGAAATCAAAGCATCGTTTAAGAAACAAATAAGCTCAATGGGCTAGGATCACTACTCCCTTATTAAAAGCAAATTCAGGACTAGACAAAACAAACTCAAACTGGAGGAGGATTATTAAACATGAATTTGTGCTGTACAGCAAAGTTTTTTTCCTTGCTCACTTCATGAAGGACTACATAGAGCAAAACGAAAGTGTGTGTGTGTGTGTGTGTGTGTGTGTGTGTGTGTATTTTTTCTCTCCTTAGTGCTGCTATACTAAGCATCAAGGAGGAGCTTGTTAAAAATGCAAATTACAGGGGGCGTAGTGGCTCACGCCTGTATCCAGCACTTTGGGAGGCCAAGGTGGGTGGATCACAAGGCCAAGAGATCAAGACTACCCTGGCTAACATGGTGAAACCCCGTCTCTACTAAAAATACGAGAATTAGCTGGGTGTGGTGGCATGTGCCTATAGTCCCAGCAATTCGGGAGGCTGAGGCAGGAGAACTGTTTGAACCCAGGAGGTGAAGGTTGCAGTGAGCCGAGATTGCGCCACTGCACTCCAGCCTGGCGACAGACCAAGACTCAGTCTCAAATAAATAAATAAAATAAAAATGGAAATTCCTGTATTCCTCCAACCCAGAGATTCTACTGCAGCAGAGGGGGCCTGGGACATTCCAGGTGGTTCTAATATGAATTGTTCCAGAGAGAAATTTTGACAAGCACTGAGGCTTGTATTTGAGCTGCCAAAGTGAAGACGGGAGTATTCCAGGGACTTAATACTTTTTGTTTTCTGCAATGCCTTCCCTCCACAAGGTTTTATGAGGTGAATACGGAATCCTTCTCTAATCACAATAAAAATAATTATTGTTAGTGTTGTGTAGAGTTATGTGGTGTTAGCTCTCATACTGTAATCCAATTAAATCATTTATTTCTGAAATTAATAAGCCCTCTGTTTCCTCTGCCTGTTTCAAATTGTTTGAGGACGGCTGGGTGCGGTGGCTCACACCTGTAATCTCAACACTTTGGGAGGCTGAGCAGGGAGGGTTGCTTTCATTCAAAAGTTTGAGACCACTGTGGCGCAACATAGTAAAATCCTGTCTCTAAAAAGTGGGAAAAAAAAAATTGGTTGGGTATGGTGGCAGATGCCTGCAGTCCTAGCTACTCAGGAGCCTGAGGTTTGGGGATCATGAGTCTCGGAGGTGGAGGCTGCAGGGAGCTGCTGATCATGCCACTGTACTCCAGCCTGGGTGACAGAGCCAGACCATCTCCAGAATAAATACATGAATACAAATCAAAACTTCTTGAGGAGTCACAGGTTCACATATTTCTCTGCTGTCAGAATAGGTGAAGTTGAGAAAAGGTGGAATTTCTTCGCTTATCATTAGACTATTCCAGGGTCCTTTGACTCCTCCTGAAGCCCACCCTGCTCACGGTGGCCAGAACTCAGCCACGGGGCACCAGGCTGCCAGGGACACATTACGAGTTTGCAGCAAGTCGCTCACGTCCTGGTCATAAGCCTTGGATTCTCCAGCTTATGCCCCTGCGCCACACTGCTCATCCCCTCCAGCTGGGAGCTCTCTTTGCTCTGCGCCTTCTCCGTTTCCTCTCGATGTCAGTCCCCTGCATCTGGGCAGAGAGTGGGAGGGTGGGGAAACTCCATGTTGCTGGCTACATGGAGGGGACCAGCTGGTGTTCCAGAGCTGACCCTCTGGGCAAAGGCCCCAGGCTCACGACATTCCCTCCTCTGAGCAGGTGCAGCTCTGTACCAGGGTGTGAGCTCGGCTGGAGCAGCAGGTGGGACCTGTCTCTGTGTCTCTGTGTTCCTCTATCGCTGTCTCTCAGAACCAGGTACACCTCGGCAGGGCACACACCACACTGCCCCCAGCCTTGCTGCCCCCCAGCCTTGCTGTCCCCCAGCCTTGCTGCCCCCAGCCTTGCTGCCCCCCAAGCCTTGCTCCCCCCAGCCTTGCTGCCCCCAGCCTTGCTCACCAGCCTTGCTGCCCCCCAGCCTTGCTGCCCCCCAAGCCTTGCTCCCCCCAGCCTTGCTGTCCCCCAGCCTTGCTGCTCCCCAAGCCTTGCTCCCCTCAGCCTTGCTGCCCCCCAAGCCTTGCTCCCCCCAGCCTTGCTGTCCCCCAGCCTTGCTGCTCCCCAGCCTTGCTCCCCTCAGCCTTGCTGCCCCCAGCCTTGCTGCCCCCAGCCTTGCTGCCCCCCAAGCCTTGCTCCCCCCAGCCTTGCTATCCCCCAGCCTTGCTGCTCCCCAGCCTTGCTCCCCCCAGCCTTGCTGCCCCCCAGCCTTGCTGCCCCCAGCCTTGCTGCCCCCCAAGCCTTGCTCCCCCCAGCCTTGCTGCCGCCCCAGCCTTGCTGCCGCCCCAGCCTTGCTCCCCCCCAGCCTTGCTGCCCCCCAGCCTTGCTGCCCCCAGCCTTGCTGCCCCCCAAGCCTTGCTCCCCCCAGCCTTGCTGCCGCCCCAGCCTTGCTGCCGCCCCAGCCTTGCTGCCCCCAGCCTTGCTCCCCCCAGCCTTGCTGCCCCCAGCCTTGCTCCCTCCAGCCTTGCTGCCCCCAGCCTTGCTCCCCCCAGCCTTGCTGCCACCAGCCTTGCTGCCCCAAGCCTTGCTGCCCCCCAGCTTTGGTGCCCCCAGCCTTGCTCCCCCCAGCCTTGCTGCCCCCAGCCTTGCACCCCCCAGCCTTGCTGCCCCCAAGCCTTGCTGCCGCCCCAGGCTTGCTCCCCCAGCCTTGCTGCCCCCAGCCTTGCACCCCCCAGCCTTGCTGCCGCCCCAGCCTTGCTGCCGCCCCAGCCTTGCTCCCCCCCAGCCTTGCTGCCCCCCAGCCTTGCTGCCCCCAGCCTTGCTGCCCCCCAAGCCTTGCTCCCCCCAGCCTTGCTGCCGCCCCAGCCTTGCTGCCGCCCCAGCCTTGCTGCCCCCAGCCTTGCTCCCCCCAGCCTTGCTGCCCCCAGCCTTGCTCCCTCCAGCCTTGCTGCCCCCAGCCTTGCTCCCCCCAGCCTTGCTGCCACCAGCCTTGCTGCCCCCAAGCCTTGCTGACCCCAGCTTTGGTGCCCCCAGCCTTGCTCCCCCCAGCCTTGCTGGCCCCAGCCTTGCACCCCCCAGCCTTGCTGCCCCCAAGCCTTGCTGCCGCCCCAGGCTTGCTCCCCCCAGCCTTGCTGCCCCCAGCCTTGCACCCCCCAGCCTTGCTGCCGCCCCAGCCTTGCTGCCGCCCCAGCCTTGCTCCCCCCAGCCTTGCTGCCCCCAGCCTTGCTCCCCCCAGCCTTGCTGCCCCCAAGCCTTGCTGCCCCCCAGCCTTGCTGCCACCCCAGCCTTGGTGCCCCCAGCCTTGCTGCCGCCCCAGCTTTGCTCCCCCAGCCTTACTGCCCCCCAACCCTGTCCACGCGCTCAGCCCCTTTCTCCGAAGTCTTTCTTACATTCTGTTGGAATAACTAATTGGGGGGCTGAGACTGACCGCACCAGGGCCCTGGTTTCTACGTCAGCAAACCCAAACCCATATCAGTGTTCAGAGCCACATTCTAGGCCCATCAGAAACTGCCTGCTGCCCATAACTAGGGACCTCGTGCTGAGACAAGCATCTCAGGCTCTGCTCCACTGTGATGGATCAGTGCACTCTCTGCTTCTGCATTCACCCCAGGGAGCTTCTCTCTCAGACCTCAAACCACCTGGAGCCACCTGATTCACAATCACTGTTTGCTCAAATAATCTCTTTAATATTTCCATGGGCCTCAGTTTACCTTCTGGCTGTTCCCATGCTAGTTCTGGGCTCGCTCCACCTTCTTGGTAGGAAAGAAACTCTCTCCTTCCCTGAGGATGAGCTCCCTGTGCAGCCCTTCCAGAAGAAGGAGAAGGTATTTTCTTCCACACCTTGGGGTCTAGGAAAAGGCAACGGGGGTTCTCGCATCTTCTTTGTAAGGGTGACTTCCAAAGCATTCCTTTTATTTTTTATTATTTTTTATATTTTTGAGATGGAGTTTCACTCTGTCGTCCAGGCTGGAGAGCAGTGGCGTAGTCCTGGAGTCTTGCTTTGTCATTCCTTTTATTAAAAAAAAAAAAAAAAAAGAACATTTTTCTTTGTAACATCTAGCTTCTGCACATGATGAGATACAGGAGGCTTTTCTCTTCCTCCTCCACCTCCTCCCTGAAGGATGCTTCCTGCTTCCCCCCAAGATTCTTCCACCTGCTTGACTATCTCTTTCATGGGGGCCCGATTCATTCTTTCCACTTCCATTCCTGCCTTAGTCCTAGGATACCATCGGTAAAGACAATCCAGTTCATAACCCTGAACTCCCTACCCCCAGCGACCTTCATGTCCACACCACATCCCAGTCCCACCGTCTCCTAAACCTTCTACCCAACCTGAGAAATTCAAACCACCACAGCCCTATGCTGCCACCATGGTTCTATGATCCTGGTTGTCCCAAGCCTAATGCGTGATAAATGTGATGGGGTGACCCAGTGATTTCACACTAGGCCACTAGGCAAGGGCTATCCCAGATTAAATATCTCAGCTCTGAATGTCAAGAAATTAGGAACTCGAACATCAGAAGTGAGAAGGCTTTCAGGCAAGAGGGAAGGTGTGTTCAGGGAATAGAAGTTCAAGATCAGCCCAAACATAATGCAATTAGCAGTGTAATTTTGTGCCCTACCAAATACATTTTTAAGAAGCCTTATTATTCATATCTTCACTCAATGGACTATTCAAAGTCAGAGTCAACTGTGGAGAGATACAGTTAAGCAGTGGCAGACATAACTGAGCTGCTGAATGGAAGAGTCAGTGCAGATGACATTTCTTTCCTATGGAATTAATTTGCCACTGAGGCTGGGTGCAGTGGCTCACACATCCCAGCACTTTGGGAGGCCCAGGTGGGTGAATCACCTGAGGTCAGGAGTTCGAGACCAGCCTGGCCAACATGGTGAAACCCCATCTCTACTAAAAATACAAAGTCAGCTATGCATGGTGGTGTGCACCTGTAATCCCAGCTACTTGGGAGGCTAAGGCAGGAGAATCATTTGAACACAGGAGGCGGAGGATGCAATGAGCTTGTAACATGGCTAGCCTAAAAGTCAGAACCTGAGAAATGCCATTTTGTAAAAGACAAAGCTGTTCTTAAAATAAGTTGTAACGGCTTCCCCATTTTCCTTGCAATAACTGCTGACCTTAGCTTCTATGAAAAGTGCTTGCTTCTGCTTATCAATAAGTGCTGAAAAGTTGCTTGTCCTGCATCCCCTCAACCTAAAACTAGGATGTCATTTTTCAGCTTAAAAACCCCTATCCCCCTGAACTCGGGGCCACGGGTTGGAGAGATGTGAGTCCTCCGTGGTCGCCGGCAATAAATGACCCTGCAATTTGACATACTTTTGTCTTGGTGTTGACTTTCTATGCTCGGTTCCAGTACAACAAGCTAAGATCATGTCACTGCACTCCAGCCTGGGCAACAGAGCAAGACTCTATCTCAAAAAACAAAACAAAACAAAACAACCCTGTCGTCTTTTCTAGGCAGGAATTGTTCCTCTTCCTATTCTCCAGGTAGGAAAGAAGAGAAAACCAAATGCAAATCCAAACCAAGAAACTGAACCAAACTCCAAATATCCACCTCACCTCAAACAAATGACCACTGTTGCTCACCAGTTCCAGCTATCGGAGGACTGATGGCCATCAGGCTATCGCGCCATCATATTCTCCAGTCATTGGAGCAAAAGATCAGCTAGGAGGTGAGGTTTAGCAAAGAATACTCAAAAGACTCCACCCTTCCTCCTTGTTTGTTTGGACTAACCTTGCAATTAAAGGCTAAAAATATGCCATTGTTTGGCCAATTCACCTCCTATGGACTGAATTGGGTCCTGCCCCAAATTTGTAAGTTGAAGCCCTGAGCCCCCATGTGGCTGTGTTGGAAATGGGGCCTTTCAGGAGATGGTTATCGTTAAATGAGGTCAAAAGAGTGGAGCCTTGACCCCGTAAAACTAGCATCCTTACAAGAAGAGGAGGAGACATCAGTGAACCCTCTACCACAGGAGGACACAGGAGAAGGCAGCCATCCGCAAGCCTGCATGACAGCCCTCACCAGACGCCAACCACGCTGGCACCTTGATCTTGGACTTTCGGCCTCTAGAACTGTGAGAAAATAAACATCTGTTTATTTTCTAGTCACCCAGTCTATGTTATTTTGTTTTGACAGCCCAAGCTGACTAAGACATCCCTCACCTCTAGTTGTCACGGAGAGGGTGCAGTGAAACGAGGAAAGAAAGGCGCTTGACTTCTTCCCTTCCGCTGCCAATCCAGTGCTGGAAAAGTAGCTGTGGGGGCTTAAGAATTTAGCATAGAATCAAAACCAATTCTCCCTTTTTCATGATTTGGAATTAATGTATTATTTAGACCAGGCGTCCCCAAACTACGGCCCGCGGGCCACATGGGGCCCCCTGAGGCCATTTATCCGGCCCCCCGCTGCACTTCAGGAAGGGGCATCTCTTTCGTTGGTGGTGAGAGGAGCACAGTATGTGGTGGCCCTCCAACGGCCTGAGGGACAGTGAACTGGCCCCCTGTGTAAAAAGTTTGGGGACGCCTGATTTAGACCCAAAGTTTAGCAACATATTGATATTTTAAATCTTTTTTAAAAATTTATACCTGGCTATTTGAATGTTTAATGAATGAATAAATGAATGTATGGAAATAATGCCACAGACCCGATCATAGAGAAGACCTGTATTTTGCCACCTTTCACCTGGTTTTCCCCTAGTGTTGAGGTTAGCTCTATATTTAACCAACCAAGACCTGGCTTGTATGAAGTATGTTTGTATCGTCTAGACCCTCACCCAAAAGGCAGTGCAGAACAATCATCAGGGCTGAAGGGTGACATTAGTGGGATCTGAGAATCTTTGCCTTCAAGGTCTCCTTCTTCCATTAAAAAAATTAAAAATGGCTGGGTGCAGTGGCTCACACCTGTAATCCCAGCAATTTGGGAGTCCAAGGCAGGTGGATCACAAGGTCAGGAGTTCGAGATCAGCCTGGCCAACATAGTGAAAGCCCGTCTCTACTAAAGATACAAACAATTACCCAGGTGTGGTTGCAGGTGCCTGTAATCCCAGCTACTTGGGAGGCTGAGGCAGGAGAATTGCCTGCACCTGGGAGGTGGAGGCTGCAGTGAGCCGAGATCACATCACTGTACTCCAGAATGGGCACCAGGGTGAGACTTCGTCTCAAAAAAAGTAAAAAATAAAAAATAAAAAAAAAAATAAAAATAATCTTTTGACAACTGCATTCTTCTGATAGGAAAAGAAAGAAACATGAAAACATCTTCATGAGCCCATGAAAGTATCAGGAGCCCTGGGTGCGGTGCCTCAGTGCCTGCCAGGAAGTCTGCCCGGGCAGAGGCCAGCTCCCTGCTTCTGGTGCCTGAATCCTGCTTGAAATACTAGCAGGACTTGAAGCAGGAGTGGCCTCGAGAAACAGACCTCTCTGACCCCGAACTAGAAAAAGAAGGAAGGGGTTTTATTATTACAGCCCGGGACCAAGGCTTTATGTTTTGTCCAAATGGCCAAGCTCCCCTAACAAAGAGAAGCTTTGCCTTTATATAGGCTTCCACTCTAGATATTACACGTGAAGGGATCTTAGGTTTACAGCCTTAGAAATGACAAGTGAAAGGGTCCTGGGTTTACAGCTTTAGAAATCACATATGAAAGGGTTCTGGTCTCCGCATGGAGGAGTGGGGTGGGGGTTTGATCTTGTTTAAGTAAAAACAGTGTCTTCTGGAGAGATTCCCCATACCACACCTGCTATCTATAGGAAGATGATTTAGGATGCAGCCTTTTCTTCTGTTGAAACGCAGTGTGGAGGTCAAGGGGGAGGTGATCCCAGAGGCCTGGGTCTCCTTCCTCAGACTCAGGCATCAGGTGTTGCCTGTGAGATGTGGGGACAATCACTTAGTATCCTTAGCTATACAAATTAGAGAAATATAGAGAAACCAAATCCAGAGAAAGCTTCCTTGTGAGTCAGAAACTTCTTTGAATGGAAGTGGGGGAGACTCTGCTGAGCTCCTTACAATGGAATGTGCTGGAGGAACTTGAAGGTGCCCTGTGGGCGGGGCAGGGAGGGCTGGACTGAAGGAAGGTGACAAGAGTTCATCTGCCCCTCGAACCGGGGGGGTTGAGTACAGAAATGTCCTAGGGAGAATCTTATTAAGAGGCTGTCTCCTGTGCCAGGACATCTGGAGCCACACACTGATTGCTCCCTCGAGCTTCCTGAGAGTGGGGTGTTGTCAGGGAAGCTTCCAGGTGCTGATTCTGCCCTGAGGTGGCCTTGGGTTTAGAACACATGTGATTGACTGCATCTGAGTTATGTGAGCAGGGTTTGAGAATTCCCCAAAACAGCTCCAGGCAGGAATAAAGCGGGACTCTGGCATCACTTGCAGGGTATGCAGTGTTTAACAATAAACTCACCGGCCCAGATCATCATCTAGGACAATGGTCTCACCTGTGGGGATTTTGCTTCTCTCTCCTAGGGGACGTTTCTCAGTGTCTGGAGACATTTGTGGGTATCATGGCTGGCGGGGGAGAGGCCAGGGGTGCTGTTCAACATCCTGCCAGGCCCGGGACAACCCCCACAACAAGGAACCATCCGGCCTCAAAGGTCCACGGGGCCAAGGTGGAGAAACCCTGGCGTGAACCATCAGCGATCTTCGCAGGGTGCTTTGAGGTCCGCCGGCTCTATTTCAAAAAATAAAAAGCAAACAATTACATTTGTGAACTTCTTACTCTCCACTGCCTCAGCTGAACTGACATCTAGCTAACTGCTATATAAACTGCTAGACGATTTACTCTTAGTTTCAGGACTGAAAAGCCAAAATGCTTTTCCCGACTAAAGAACCAACAGCGAGTCACGAAGCTAATTTTTCCATCTAGAGATAAACACCCACTGCCCTCTGCTGGAGAATTTTATAACTGCTGCCTTGAGTGTTGAGAAAAGAAGTCAGTTGCAGGTCATTCTAACTTAACAGAATGTCTCCGACCACTGACTTTTTCCTTTGAACATGTGATTGATTACAAGGGTGGGGAGTATATGGTTTATATGACCAATTTCCTTCTGCTGTGATACCCTGTACATTCAGATGTTCTTTGATAATGATTAGTTATTCCTATTCCTTCTCTATAAGCACAGAAGGCACGAAACAAGAGCAAAGCTTAATGAGAGAAACAATGGAAGCAGATCCTAGGGGGTGCTTTTCAGATGTTTGATTGCTTAAGAATTATAGGCCATGGCTGGGCATGATGGCTTACACCTGTAACCCTCGCACTTTGGGAGGCCAAGGAGGGCTGATCACTGAGGTTGGGAGTTCCAGACCAGCCTGGCCAACATGGTGAAACCCTGTCTCTACTAAAAATACAAAAATTAGCCAGGTATGGTGGTGGGTGGCTGTAATCCCAGCTACTTGGGAGGCTAAGGCAGGAGAATCCCTTGAAATTGGGAGGCGGAGGTTGCAGTGAGCCGAGATCATGCTATTGCACTCCAGCCTGCGCAACAGAGTGAGATTTTGTCTTTAAAAAAAATTATAGGCCAGGCACAGTGGGTAGTGGTTCATGCCTGTAATCCAGCACCCTTGGGAGACTCATTATCAAATCATTTGAGGCCACCCCAGGAAACAGAGTGACACCCCTGTCTCTACAAAAATTTTTTAAAAATTAACTGGGAATGGTGGCTCACTCCTGTAGTCCTAGCTACTCTGGAGGCTGAGTCAGGAGGATCACTTGAGCCCAGGAGTGTGAGGCTGCAGTGAGCTGTGATTGCACCACTGTACTAGACTGGTGACAGAGTGAGACCTTATCTCTAAAATAAAAAATAAATACATAAATAAAATTATGGAATTTTTTTTCTATGAAAATAAAAACATTTAAAAATTTTTAAAAAATTTGTTTCACATAATCATTATTATACTATAGATAAAAATGTGTTCTACTGGCCAGGTGAGGTGGCTCATGGCTGTAATCCCAGCACTTTGGGAGGACGGGATAGGTGGATCACCTGAAGTCAGGAGTTTGAGACCAGCTTGGGCAACATGGTAAAACCCCATCTCTACTAAAAATACAAAAATTAGCCAGGTATGGTGGTGGGTGGCTGTAATCCCAGCTACTTGGAAGGCTGAGGCAGGAGAATCGCTTTAACTTAGGAGGCGGAGGTTTTAGTGAGTGGAGACTATGCCTTTGCACTCCAGCCTGGGCGACAGAGTTAAGACTCTGTCCCTCCCCTCCAAAAAAAAATATGTGTTCTGCTTTTCTTCTCTCTAAACATCTCTCCATGTTATCATGGGCACATTTTTTGTTACTTTGAGGTGTATACCGATGCCTTTTCCAGGGGAGGACTTGTGAGCCCAGATGCTGCCTCAGCTGCCACCCTTCAAGGATTGTCTCCATGCCAGGGAGCCAGCTGGGCCAGGTGTGTGCCCCTCCCAGCACAGCCTTCATTCATGACTGGCAGATGCTGTGGATGGAGGCCTGGCCATCCGGCCCAATATGGAGGTGCTCCAATGGGTCATTTCAGCTCTAGAACTCAGGGGTGTGCTACTCAGAGGTGAGTGCCGCTATTTATCTTGTGTGTTTCTTTCCAGGGCTGGGCTGTTCCTCTACCAGGATAGATACTGTGACAGTTAATTTTATGTGACAACTTGACTGGGCCACGGGATGCCCAGCATGTTGCTGGTTAGACATCACTTCTTTTCTTTTCTTTTTCTTTCTTTCTTTCTTTTTTTTTTTTTTTGAGACGGAGTTTCCCTTTTGTTGCCCAGGCTGGAGTGCAATGTTGCGAGCTCGGCTCACTGAAACCTCTGCCTCCGAAGTTCAAGTGATTCTCCTGCCTCAGCCTCCGGAGTAGCTGGGATTACAGGCATGTGCCACCACACCCGGCTAATTTTTTGTATTTTTAGGAGAGACGGGGTTTCACCACGTTAGCCAGGCTGGTCTTGAGCTACTGACTGCAGGTGATCTGGCTACCTGGGCACAGGAAAAGTTCTAACTGGATGTTATTGATGTGAATCTTCTTAGGTATTAAAGAAAGAGACAGCGTCACTTGGAAGAGAAGCCATGATCAGATGGTGTCCATGGATAGAGCTCATCCTCATAGGGCTGAGAAACCAGATAATAGGATTATTACTTGATGCTGCTTGATAGAAAAATAAACTATCTTTGCTGAAAACTCTTTGACTTATTAAAGGTCCTGAATCTTTCACTTGCTGACCTATAAAACAGAACTTACCTGGGTTCCTGGAAGAAGGAGTCTCCCAGATCCTTAGCCAAAATTACTCTCAAAACAATG